ACACACACACACACATACACAGTTACATACAAAGACATAGTCATATCCTCAAGAATCACAAACTGGTAACCTTCATCGTCTTCCTGTCAAACAACTTAATGCAGTTGGTTTTGTTTTTTCCCTAACATATGATTCGGTCACTTTGGTGAAAAAGATTACCTGGTCATGGATAAGCCCATGATAAAGGATGCTCTGCATGTCCCTGGAAAGCCGCTCCAGGCCACCATACTTGGACCAGACGTTGGGGCTGTTGGCTGACACCAAACCTTCAACAGTAGTCTTCAAATTACCCAGCAACTGCCAGTGCTCCCTCCTGCAAAGGCATCAATTATATCAATGACTACTTAGTTTTGTTGTAGCTGATCCTGAGCATATGCAAGGAAGCCCAAGCCAAGAGGCCTCCAGACCACATCCTAAGTTTTTTTGTTTTGTTTTGTTTTTTGTACTATTAAGGTGTTACTGGGGCCTAAATCTCAAACTGAGAGAATTAAAGTTGTAAAGAGCACCAGGATTTAAAGCAAATGAACCAACAAACTTATACGTGCATGGCACTTTATGTAGGAGCCCTGGTGCTGCAGTAGCTAAGCACTTGGCTGTTAATCAAAAGGTTGATGGTTTGAACCCATCCAGCATCTAGTGATCTGTTTCCATAAAGATGACAGTAGACATGAAAATCCTATGGGGCACTTCTGTCACATGAAATCATCATGATAGCATCTAACAACAGTCCTGTGTCTTTAGAAGGAGTGTGACCCATTAAAATCCACTTCTGGTCAATAAGAGTACATGAGAAAATGAGGCAGAATAAGAGGTGGGGAAATACATAAGAAATGAGGCATAACCAGAAATCTTTAGCTCAACTAGCACACAAGCGAAGAAATTACTTTTGATTCACTGTTCAGGCATGCCTTCTTAGTACCTTGAAGCTATTGCAGGTTTGGTTCCACATCACTACAAAAAAGCTATTGCAGGTTTAGTTCCATATCACTACATTAAAGCAACTCACAATTGTTTTGGTTTCCTGATATATATAAAAGTTATGTTAAACAGAAAACAAATGCTGGCAAGGGTGTGAAGACTCTGAGACCCTCCTACATTGCTGGTTGTTGTTGTTAGGTGCTATCAAGTTGGTACCAACCCATAGAAACCTTATGCAGAACAGAATGAAACACTGCCCGATCCTGGGCCAACCTCACTATTGTTGCCACTCTTGAGTCCATCGACACTGCCACTTAGCCAATCCATCTCGTTGGGGGTCTTCTTCTTTTTCTCTGACCCTCCACCTTACCAAACATGATATCATTCTCCAG